TTTTCTTACCCCATTGGCAGATATTTCTTTCTTGTTTTAGGCATGAATTCACTTATTTTATGTTGAATTTTTCAGAAAACAAGAACTTTTCTTCATTTTGCTTCTCAAGAAAATCCATTTTGAATTCAGAATGTTTACATACCTGTTCTGGAAAACAAGACAAAAATACGAAGTACAAAAATCACTTGCAGGTACTCTACTGGAAAGACCATCTGGAAGGACCATGCTGGTTTAAGGTAGCACTGGTCAAGCTGGTGGATCACCATAACCAAACTTAACCGATGATGCTGGTTGACTGACATAATGGCTGACGAATGTCTGAAATGTTCAATCTTGATCTTGGAGGGTTATGTTCCTGCAGAATTTGACTCCAGCACATCTTTCTGGCAACCCTGAAGACCTTGATTAGCTGATTCAGTGTTTATTTTTGGTTTTAGTTAACCCAAGGCAATCTTGCTGGTTAAACTAGTTAAAACACCTTGTGGAAACACCAGCATTCAAAACATGTGCTGGTGACAGACTATGCAGGGTTTTTCAGCAGGATTGTCACTCGTCTTTTGTAAGAGATCTTTTTAAGTTTAAGTTGTTCATCATTAACTCAGCCTTCGAAAGAGAAGCCTTGAACCTTCTCGGACTTCAGTCCCGGGAACATTAGCTTGCTTGCTTGTAAGTCTTCTTGATCTGCCACCCAAGTCTCTCTTGGTATCTGTCCCATTTGGTAAGCCTAACTGTTGTCACTGGATCAGGTTCCTTCCTCTAAGAGCATAACATCCTATAGGTCTCAATCTCAGATTGTCATCATAGGTTTGACTTATTTGCTCTTTTAATATTTAATGGCTTCCCTCAGACATCTGAGAGGCTAAGGGCCTTAGTCCTGGAACCAGAGCCAGTCGTTGCATTGCCACAGAACTACAGGGATCCTTCTCCACATCGAACACTATCAGGGCTACTTTTGACAGCATGTTGTATATTAAGACATGTTGAGGTTTGAAATTCTTAAACGTAATTTACTGAACATGCATTTGTCTTGCTTGGTGTGTCAGGCTCATTGCAGGTGATGAACAAAACTCGCAAGATCATGGAGGACGGCGGAACCTCATTTACAAATGCATTTGTAACTACGCCCATGTGCTGTCCATCACGCTCTTCCATGCTGACTGGGAAGTATGTCCACAACCACAACACGTACACCAACAACGAGAACTGTTCCTCACCTTCCTGGCAAGCTCAGCATGAGCCGCGCTCCTTTGCCGTTTATCTCAACAACACTGGATACCGAACAGGTAAGAAACGAAACGAGAAACAGACGACTCATTCTGACCTGCTTGATCTGAAGCAGAGTTGGGGTCGGTGCGGTTTTTAAAATGTTTTTTGAGAAGCCTCTTACACTCACCATAGCTGCATTTTATTTTATTAAAAACACAGGAAAAACAGTAAAATTGTGCATTATTATTACAATTTAGAATACCTTTTATAATATAATATATATATATATATTACAGTTTTTGTTACAATAGGAAAAGTCTGTCAATTTTGATTAAATTAATTTGTCCTTGCTGAATAAAATAAATATTTTTGTGTATTGACTTTTTTGTGCAATATTAATTCATCAATTTAAATTTTAATATTAAAAATAACAGACCATTTTAGTTTTATACTACTGCAATTTTGCAGGAAAAAATATTGTGTGTATATAAATAAATAAAATAAAAACAATAAATATCTACACATTCACTGTATATGCACAGATTTTATTGAATTAATGTTTTGACCGCAAATGTTTTAACCTTAAGGTCTTCATGAGGGAATAATAGTTATTATTATTATTATATACACAATATCTTTTGTATTAAAAATACAAAAACAAAAAGGATATATTTACAGTTTCCCTCTTTACCCTTAAAAGTCAGTTGGAAATGTATTTGTCTGACAGTGTTCTGCAATTTCACTAAAATTGTGCTTTCACATTTGTTCCTAGAGGTCAAATACAAGTTTTACAGGAATTTTCAATTTGTCTGATTTGTGGAAGCTAAGTATGGAGCTAAACGTGCCAGTAGCCTTGTGCTGTGTGACTTGAGTGGCAGCACGTTCTCACCCTGAATACAGGGGTTCAGGCCTCACCACTGCTTGTGGTTTCCAGCTGATGTGTTAGTCTACAATTAACTCTCCAGGGCAGACTGGCTGCTTGCCCAGCTCTTTTGGAAGATGTTTTGGCTTAGCTTAGAGTGGAAAGGGTAGAGGAGACATGTATACAATGCAGAGACAGACATTTACAGGTGCTGTTCAAAGGCAGTGTTTTGAGACACTTGTCATAAATGATCATTTTAGACTTTGTGTCGACCTCACTGAACATAGATTAAAGTTTATGTTTTTCTTTATTTCGTCCCATAGCTTTCTTTGGGAAGTACCTCAATGAATACAACGGCAGCTACATCCCACCTGGGTGGCGCGAATGGGTGGGGCTGATCAAAAATTCCCGTTTCTATAATTACACCGTCTGTCGAAACGGGAACAAGGAGAAGCACGGCGCAGATTATGCCAAGGTATGTGTGTCTGGTCACATAAGTTCACAGCCCTGTCACCATGCCAAAGATTTCTTTTAAACTCAATTTTCAATTTATGTTCAATTGTATGGTCTGTTCGCAACTAATTTCAGGCCTCTAATTACATATAAAATTTGGGTCGGTTGACCCCACATGGAATGTGGTTAGATTAAAGGGGGCATGGAGAGTTACATCTGTGTCTTCTGTGTCATCAGGTGGTTACACTGAATAAAACTTGGTAGAAAAAGAGACAATGTCTTTGGGGCAAAGTTCCTTTTGGAAACAACTACAGTTCTGCTGATTTGACAGGTTGGACATTTGGGCTATGTTCAGATTGGCATACATCTCTTACTATTTTTGCAGTATATATGTAATCTGTGCACATTTTTAATTAAGTCAACATTTTAGAACTAAATTTAATAAGGTATGCAAATTTAACAAGCAGTATGCAGTGCAGTATACAGTACTATACTATTACTATTTGATACTATATCATAGCCATGGTTTACAGTACGCTGTATGGCTAGATGTGAAGTGATAGTGACTTTTGCCATCCTTGTGCAAGACCTTCAATATGAGCAAAGTGATAAAATCAAAGTTTAAATAGTTTAATTTGACATGGCCACCTTCCATCTCTAGAGTGTTTGGGAGCTGCTGTCAAAACAAGCTTTTGGAGTCTCTCAAAGGTAGCATGTTTTTGGGGAATGTGGAATTTGTGCTGAGGTTTCATGGTTTGGGCATAAATTGGCTTGGAGACAGTCTAAGGGATGAGCAAATAAATGTTTGGACTGTTAATCGAATGTCAATTACCTGCTTGTTGAATTGAATGAAGGTGTTAAATTACCCACACGTGGAGAGGCACAAGAGGCTGAAGGTTTCTCCATGAGGTTTGCAGAAATGTTGGTAACACTTTATAATAACTTTCATTAATAAATCATTAAC